AGACTGTCCCTACAGTGGTTGTGCTCTGAAGAGATGATGGGGTAGTGCCCAGCTGGGGTGTGTTGTCCCAAGGTAGCACTGGAATTGTGGAGTGTCATTTTTGCCACTCAGGACAAGCCAGCTTTCCAGGAAAATCAGTAAAAATAGCACCAGAGCCAGTGGTTCAGATTCCAAGACTGTTGTCCTACAGGGATAGAAACTGACTGCAAATAAAGCCATTTCCTTGTGTTACATTCCCCCTCATAATACAATGTTCTGTTCATTTTAAACACATCTATACATTTCTCAAAGTTGTAGCACCAGAATGTAATGACAGGACCAGAGTTTATCTTTTTATTTATTATTTCTTGAGTAAGATTTCTTGGAAGATGCCCACTCCTGCTTGGAGATGCACTGAATGCCAAGGCAGCTTGCAGAACCTGCTGTTGCTTCCCCAGCCCTCCACTCCCCCAGAAGTACAAAACCACCCCAGTGCCTTAGGAAAACAAGAAAAAGTGGCAGAAAAAAAACCTTCTATAAATTCAGACTCGAGCCACCAAACTTTCTGCTGAAGTGTTTTGGGTTTGTGATTTGTTTTTTTCTTCCTCTAAAGAAAGCATTAATTTTCTGAGCATTCCTGCATAAGCTCTAGGGTTGCAGTTATTTAGGTTTAGGGGATACTTGCACTGCATACCAGGAACAGGACAATACCTGTTAGTGGTTTAGTTCTCTAAGTTATTGGTATAAATTAAGCTGGAAATCAACATGTTATTCATATACTAGTGCCTTTAACAGAATCCAGGGATAAAGGTCTTTTGTAGTTTCCTGCTGCTGTGAGGTGCTTAATATAATTGCAGTTTTCTCTGCATCTTAGTAACTGAAGGTATTTTTTCAGTTACTGCCACAAAAGGCAGCAAAAATACCCATTTATCCTGTCCCTTGCACCTGTGTCAGAGGAAAGTGACAAAAGATCAGATCTCTCCAGGTGATAGAATTTTGAAAGCACATCACACATATTTTCTTGTTCTCCTGTCCGTTTGTTCTAGAGCATAAAGATGTAAGTTGTTGATGCCCTTACAGTGTCTCTAAACATCCTGATTCACATCTCCCTTGTCTAATTTTTCTAAGTTACTGATTTCAGTGGGAGCTTCCTTTGTCACAGGGAAACCTCAGCCAGTTTTGGTACCTCTCAGAAATCACAGAGCAGCTGATGAAGCTCAGCCCTGTGACTTCCCTACAATGAAGAGTAGTGTTTCACTTGTCTTGATACTGATAGTTTTATAACAAAACACGTGTCATGTGTCTTGAAAAAGAAATTGAGTTGTCTTAAGCCCTCAAATGCTGTATTGCACAGCCTTTGCAGGCTATGGATTAACAGCATCAGATGCTGTTCATAGAAAATGTACATAAATAAAGCTTTTCAATCTTTTTCCTCTCTATTGGTGCTCCAGCCACGAGGTTCTCCAAAACACTAACCACTTCCTGCATAATGTGTATGGCACAGCATAAATTCTGATTTTGGACAGAACTGGCATTTTGGTTCATGCTGCCAAGTCTGTGGCAGAATTACCTCTTGCTTTGAAAGAAAACAAACTTAACTCTGTGGCTGAAATTAGCTTTCACTTCCCTATGATGTGTTCCGAAGTGGCGTTTTATCGGCTATGTGTCTTGAATTTGAAACAACTTCCTAATAAAAATAACCTGGAATAAACGACTCCCGGAGAGAACTCGATCCGCGCGGCCAGAGCCCCCCCGGTCCTGAGGGCACCGTGGGGCTGCCCCCGCCTCACCTGCAGCATCCAGGACACCGGCTGGGCTCCAGGAGACGGAGCAGCCCTCGGCCAGCGAGGCAGGCAGGGCCCCGGACTGGGGACTGGGATTAGGATCGGGACTGGGATTAGGATCAGGATCGGGATCAGGACCGGGACTCGCCGCGATCCAAACCCGGCACCGCCGGAATTCCCCTCAGGCACCCGCATGACGAGGAGGCCCCGCCCACTGTGGGCGGTGCACGCTCCCCATTGGCTGCTCGCGCTGCGGGCGGGGCGGGGCCACAATCCCAGAATGGTTTAGGCGGGAAGGGACCTTAAAGCTCCTTCCCACTGTCCCAGGCTGCTCCAAGCCCTGTCCAGCCTGGCCTTGGACACTTCCAGGGATCCCGGGGCAGCTGCTCTGGGCACCCTGTACCAGGGCCTCACCACCCTCACAGGGAACAATTTCTTCCTACTATCCAATCTAAACCTACTGTCTGTATGAAGCCATCCCCCTTGTAGTCTCCCTTCTGGTACTGGAAGGCCTCAATAAGGTCACCCCGAAGTTTCTCTCCTCCAGGCTGGACAATTCAAATGTCCCAGCAGAGCTGCTCCATCCTGGTACGTCCTCTGGAATGGCTTCTGCTCCTTCCTGTGCTGGGCGCCCAGGGCTGGAGGCGGCTCTGCAGGTGGGGTCTCACCTGAGCAGGGCAGAGCGGCAGAATCCCCACCTCCAATGCCGCCCACGGCGCTTTACATGCGGGGGAACAGCGGCGGCCCCGGCGGGCACGGGCCGGTACGGGCGGGGCCGCCCCTCAGAGCCCTTGCCACAGCGCCCCCTGGGGGCCGGGGGTGTCGCCGCAGCCCCCGCGGGTACGGAGCTCAGGCCGCTCCCTCCGCCAGGGGTAGGGCGGGTTTCTTCTCCTGCTTCTCCTGCTTCTCCTTCTCCTGCTTCTCCTTCTCCTTCTCCGTGCTCCACATGCGAATGCGCCCGAGTTTGTTCCTCTCCGAGCACCTGCCGCGGGCCGGAGCGCCGGGAGCAGCCGCGGCCCCCGGCCCCCCCAGCCCGTTCTGTGCTCTCCCCAGCCGGGCTGAGGGACGGACCCTGCGTGAGGATGTTTGGATTGCCTGCAAATCCATGGCTGAGTTATGTGGAAACCGTCTTGGGATAAACGGAAGGTAACAAACACGTCCGGAAGGAATCATCACCTGAACAGGGATTTATCACTGGGCCTGGGGGTCTTAAACTTGAATATGCCTAACACTGTCCTCGGAGGGCATGGAAGCATCTGGTTAAATAGATATGTTAGCACAACGCAAACGTCTCAGTTTGGGTTTTTCTGAAGTGTAAAAAAAGGCACATTAGTTATTTTCTCTCAATGATTTTCCATAGGCATTAACTGTAAAAGCAGACTTGGTTTTTGTTTGTACTGAAGACAAATCTGTCAGGCCATAAGGGACATTACAATAACTTAGCAGTGCTGCTGATACTGTAAATAGGCCAAGTACTCTCTTTTTATTTTCCTAAGTACAAGTGCTGCTTAGTAGTAAACAGAATTATATTTTCCTGTGCTAAATAGTATTTTTAACAATCCAGACATCTTGAAAAAGCTCTGGCTTATCTTAAAGCTGAACACTTTGTTTCTGTGGCATTTGCCAGATACCATAAGGGCAGCTTTGTTCAATAAATACCTATTTCCCAAGTTTTTTTACCACTCCTGTGCTCTTCACCAACTGGAGAGCAGCAGTTCATGTTGCAGCTCTTCCTTGGAGAGCTTGGGAGATCACAGCTCATCTGTGTGATACACAGAAGGGGCTGGGAATACCAGATTCTCACCACCAGAAAGTGTTTGTAATTTAATTGTAACTAACCTCTCCTGCTCTGAAGATTTAGATATAGTCTTGTACAAAATTAGCTATGACTGGGTTGTTTAAACCACGTGTTAGGGATCTGTTTTACAGAAGTAGGGCTGCTCCTGCAGATGCTCTGGATTTTCTGTAAATTTCAAACTTGTTTTTGGAATATTTAAATCTTTAAACTTTGCCTGTGAAGGTATTTCTTTATCACCAAATAAGGCACATATAATTGGAGTTCATACCTTGTGTAGAATCCGTGACACATACTCAAATTGCCATGGGTTGGTTGAGGTTGGAAGGGACCTCTGGAGCTCATCCAGTCCAAACCCCTCTGCTCCAGGGGGGCACCAGCAGTTTCCCTTGGGCTTTCTCACAGGTTATGCTGCAGATTAAATAAAATGAAGGTGTTTGGAACAGAGAATCAGATTCTAGGAACCGTCATGAAAACTGCAATCCTGAAAGCAGGACTTTTCTAAAAATGTTTAATTTCATATTCGTATCCTGTGAATTCTGGTTCCTTTATTTACTATTTCAAGCAATGTGTGAATTTAATGTCTGTGGTTTCTTGGGAGCTACAATCTCAGTGGAAAGGAAGCAGCTGTTAGCTTACATTGATTACATGCATTACTTTTCTTTATTCCTGTCTCTGCACCTCTCACCTGTGCATGTGCAGCACACAGGGTGGGCTCAGCTCTCCTTCCACTCCTGGGGGGGGTGTTCACCTGTGGGGAAAAATGGGATTTTTTGAGTTTTGCTTTCCATTTGATGGCAGCATGCTCCCCTTGCAGAGAACAGAGCAGCCAGCTTTGAAGCTCCAGTGATTCCTCAGTGCTCACAGAGACAGGTGTAGTTCAAACTCTGTTTCTGCAGGGAAGAGGGGGTTATACCATTCATGTAGAGAAGCATTCCCAATAAACACAGATCTGGACAACAGCACTAATAATACATAGATGGAAAAATACTGCTGCTAATTTGAAGGCTCTAAGTATGTGTCAAAATATATTTTAAAAGTTCAATACCAAGAGTGTGTATGGCCTTTTTTTTAAACTCTGAAATATATAAAGTGAAATAGGTGAACTCTGAAATAAATCAATATCAAATTCTGAAATATGTCAATATAACGAATCTCTGAGCATCTCTTCAGAAAATATCTGGGATTTGTGAGCAAAGGCTGATACATTCACACAGTTCTGTCTCCTCCAAAGTAAATTCATCTGGGTTCTCAATACAACCATACAGCCTTTAGCATTCTTTTCTGCCTGTCTCAAAACACCCAATTCATTGAATCAACTAACAATACACCTTCAGAATAAATGTTTGTGCACAGCAGTTTGCAAACCGAATACGAAACAGTTTTATTTCTGTCGAGGTGTGAGCAGAGCAGTACATTTCACCCCCATCCCACTGAAAGCTTTACAGGTTACAGAGCTTCTGTGGCTTGGTGCAGTAGTTTGTCCTGACCCTCTCACGGACACAGTCACTGTAGTCAGTGTTGCACTTGCCACACTTGCAGCTCACAGCCACGGGGTAGGAGTAGTAGGGGATGGTGTGGAGAGGGCAGCCCGGGATCAGCGCTGTCCGGTACAACATCTCCTTGTATGTGCACACGTTCTGGGACAGAGCACTCTTGAGGAGCAGCTTCTTGCCATTGCTGTCCTACAAAGAGAAGAGAAATGTGTTGTTTCACTGAGGCATATGTGTGTCAGAAACGTCCTGTGAGGTGCAGAGGCCAAAACTCACACCTGAGCCCAGCTCTGGTACTACTGAGTTCAGAGCTCTAATTGTGACTGGGGCTCCCTCCCCACGCAGGCACATTCCCCTTGTTTTTCTGGTTTAATTAATCCACATGGCTCAGAGTGTTCCCTGTGCTTTGTGATCTCTTCTGGCTCCCTGCTGCCCAAGCTGGAACTCAAAATGCTGTGTTGAACAGTGAAGTTGTGAGGAGTGGTGTGGCTGCTGCAGAGCTGTCCCCACAGCCAGCTGGGATAGCAGAAGTTACCTAAGGTATTTACATTAATTAGGAGTGACCCAATATAATCTGCCCCTCACAAACTGCCCCCAGAGGCTCTGCAGTGGCAGCAGCAGTCAGATCTCTGTTGTGCCACTGGTGTTATCAGCTCCATGGTTCCACAGGCTTGGCATTTTTCATCCCCACCTTTGCAAAAAGCTAACTTGAAAACATGGTGACAGTGCAGTTTTTCTGCCTGCGATAAACTCTTTTACAATTAAATAATTTGCACACTATTTTGTGGGAGAACAGAGCCTTGGTTTGCAGTGGTGGCTGTTCCAGAAACATCTCATACCCGAGTCATGCAGAATCCAGCACAGATGGTGGTGTTGATGGCCAGGCAATAGGCACATTCCTGCTTCTCCACGTGGATTGTGTACTCAGAAGGAGCACACAGTGATGCTGCTTGTCCAAAAATCAGGCCAAAGAGGAGAGACATCACAAAGAAGGGACTCATGCTGGATGGGGAAGAACAAACAAACAGAGCAAAGCACAGGTAAAGTGGGATGTGCCTTCCAGCCGTGTCCTCTGCATGGGACAGGAGCAGCCAGGACTGTCACAGACCTGGGGTAATCTTTACATTTCTAGCTACAGCCTGACAATTTCTTTCCAATCTCAGTCCCTACTGAAATAATTAAACAGAGAATAAGGGCAAAGAGGCCATTAACAGCATAGAACAAATTCACTTTCCCCCCACTAAAGCACATTACATGGAATTTCTCACTAGTGAGTGATAAAGTCCTGACACAGAACAAATAAGAGGAGCTGAAAGATTTGAAAGTGTGACATGTAAGAGAACATAAGCTCTAGAATTAAGCAGAGATAATAAAATAATCTCACTGCTTTAAAACAATTTTCTAAAGAAAGCATCTTATAAAATGTTAAAGAGACAAAAAGACAAGGTTGTGCATATCAGGCATAAAACTGGATTTTTCAGTTTCCAGTGGCTTAGAGGCATGATGAGATGGGAACACAGCCAAGAACTAAATAATAAATTCAAGCAAATTACAATCAAGAACATCAGCAAAGAGTTCAACTCAATGCATCCTGCTGTATCTGTCTGTTGTGCTGACCTCATTTCTCAGAGCTGCAGGTGGATCCTGAGAACAAAGCCTTGATTAGCTCTTAAGACAATTTCAGGAACTACTCTAGAGCCTCTAAATGATAAACTTTAAATGCCAGTGTCTACCAATATCTGGACATCACCCTCTAGTCTCTTCCAGCTGCCAATTTCCCATAGCAAAGCCATCCATTACACAGGCTGGTTTACCCTGGAGCTGCAACACCAATCTGGACAGACCAACCTCTTGTCAGCAGAATTCTTCCCTATTACAGGAACCTGATTCTGCCTTGAGCTGGGAGAGGCAGTGACCCAGCACAAGCTCTGTGTGTGCTTTATACTCTCCAGGCTAATTCCAGGCTGATCTTACTGTTTATATAATTGCATGTGAACTGCTGCTTTCTTATCACAAAGTCATCTATTGAAAATTCATACTGAACCACAAAGCAAATGTGATAGGAACAAATGTGTCCATAATATCCTAACCTGGAAACTGGAGCTGGAAATCTAATTATATTAACAGTCATTCTCTCCTCAGGCTTTTAAACTAACCAGTGCTTTTAAAAAGTTGTTATTATTGATTCATTTAATTGCTCCATAAGACAGCAACACCATGGCAGGAAGGCTGGAATGGATATGGAGCCCTCCAGAATCACAGCTGATGAGTTTTACACCTGTGTTTTGCTAAGGTTTAACAAGGTCTGGTTCACTCTGCTTGCTCCTTGCCAGGCACAGCTGGGACAGGCTGGCACAGGGTGCCCAGGGGACCTGTGGCTGTCCCAGCCCTGGAAGTGCTCCAGGTTGGAGCAGCTGGGACAGTGAAGGTGTCCCTGCCCATGGCAGGGCGTGGGATGGGATGAGCTTTAAGGCTCCTTCCAACCCAAAGCATTCTGGGGCTCTCTAAGTCTGTGCAGTGCCCAGGAAGCAACAAATCTGAAATCAAAGTCACTGCTCTGCAGCCTGCTCAGGCACAGCCTCACTCACCTGCTCAAACAAAGACAGAAATTGGCTGGCCTGGAACTTGCTCAGCAAATATTGAAGTAACAAACAATTCACTGAATATTGATTGATAGGGGAAAAACTTATAAAACCACTCCTCACAGCAGAGTAAGAAACAAAATATTGCATCAATACCAATGAAACAATGTCCCCAGATGGGGGAAAATACATTTGGGGGAGCAAGAGGGAGAAGAGGTCAACAAAGGCAGGATTCTGTGTCAGCCCCTCCCTGAGCTCCCTGCCTGCAGCTCTGGGAGCACGTGCCCTTCCAGCCCATCACCTAACTCCCATCTGGAATCTGATCTGATGGATGTCTTATGCAGGTCAGCCACAGTCCTGATTTACATAGCCATAAAAAACATGGAAAACGTGAGTTGGAGGTGGTAAATATGGTTACTTTGGGTCCCAATTGGTGTTCAGCTAATTCCTGCACAATAGTGTCTCCTTTTCCTGGTTTCAGACTGCTGCACACAGGTCTGTGTCCTGAACTAACTTTTCAAGCATTTTTGGATAACATAATAGAGGTTTTGTTCAATTAAGACTAGCCAAATGCTTTCTGTTTTCATGGAGTCTTTAATTCTGGGTTAATTTCTACCATATAATTTTTCTGGAATTAAATATAATTTAATTCTGTTTAAACCTCTTTCTGGCTTAGGGACATCAGCAGAGTATTAATTGTACTCTTTGTAACATCTGTCCACCTCACTTAGCAACAGGAGAGTAACACTCACTTTGCTACTACTCTAGTTTGTTATTAACTCTGTATTTTTCTGATATATCTGGAATACAAAGACTCAGATTCTCTCAGTGTACACCACGCAACCCCACACAGATAATGTAAATGTGTACATATTACAATGTATATACACTGTTCACACACACACACACTACATACACATATATGGGCTTGGTCTTTTGAAGCTTTAACCACAGAAAAGAATGTTTGTTCTTGGCAAATACAGAGAGTATTTCAAAGGACACAAGCTGAAAAAATTCATAAAACTAAAACCTGGAGAGGACAAAAAATGCTCAAAGTAAGATTTAAATACCAACATTCTTAAAGCAAAAATATCACATGTGACCCTTGCATGCACAGCTGATTCTTTCCTCTAAAGATTGACAGCTTTGGGCAGTTGGAGCTGCATTTGTGCACCCTGGAGACCACCACAGCCAGGTTCAAAGTGTCTCAACATCCCCTATAAGAACATAGGCAGAGAACAGGTCAGAATGTGCCTCAAAGTGCCAATTTCTCTGAGCTCAGAAAACTCAATGTAAGGGGGAGGGTGGCAGAGGGAGATTAGGGTTAAAAAAAAAAGGTTTAAGAATTTGCCTTAACAAGATTTAGGGACATCAGTAGCAAATTGTAAGAAGGCATGAAAGTCATAATAAAGATGAAAAAGAGAGTGCAACATTAAAAACTATAGCAACAAAATTAGAGGAAAACCAACAACAATATCTGTTAGAGGTGAGAAAATGCAGAAAACTTGCACGGGAAGCTGAAGAGTAGGAAATAAACTTTGGGAGGCCAGAGGCCAATAATAAAGTCAGGGAACATTACAAGATGAAGACAAGCTGCTGATGCAGAGTAAGTGCAAAGTACTTATGCTTTTGAAAACACAGTGACTGAACAAACACACACAGATCTGCAACAACAATTATTAAATAAATCATATAAGGAATAAATACTTTAAAATCTACATGATTAGCTAGCTAATGCTCATTACAAGAAGTCTGTAATACTGAGGGAATTTCAAAACATTAAAGAAAGTCCTAATTTAATGGCAATATTTTAAGGAAAAAGTGTTGACCCAGGTAATTCTCCACCAGCCAGGTAAAATAACAGAAAATTGATACAGGATTTGAGCGATAAAGAATTAACGGATGAAAACATAATTACTGATGTTACATAAAATAGGTCATGCCACACAAACCCAATTTCATTGTTTGCAGTGATTACAAATGTAGTTGTTAAGGCAATTGCACAGATGCAATGTGTCTGGTTCCATGGGTGCAGAGCCCCCCTGTCAGGAAGGTTCAGAGCTGTCATCCCAGTGAGGGGACACTGAATGCTGGCACTTGTCAGCCACTGGAGCAGTTGGTTTGGTCTCAGTGGTGCCTTTATTCACTGCCATGTTTTTACCCAGCTTCTCAACACTGGTTAGTGTTCAGATTGTTAGTGTTCCCCAGTGCACTGGGGAAATACCTGACCAGGTATTAAGAATGAAAATTAATTTATCTGCAAGGGCAATAAATGACTCTGAGTGGAGCTTGGGACCAGTGTGAGTGCTGCTTATCAGCTCAGCCCATGCTGATATGGTCACAGCAGCTCCTGGCTGCTGCCTTTCCCTTGCTGGCACCATTATCCTGCCCATCAAAAAGCTGATATTCACATGTCTTCAGTCATTTACAGAAACTGTCAAGCTGCTAAAAACCTCCTGGATTGTCCTCATGGCTGTGACCATGGAGATCATTCACTACTGACCTCTCTGATGGGAGTGAGATCCCACGAGCTACGGGGAGCAGCCAGACAAAAGACAGGCAGGACAAGGAAGTCCAGTGTTACAATGTGTGAGTGCCTGAGGCTTCTTCCATACAGTTTCCTAAAATCCATCATCCCCACTCTGGTGCTCATGGATCTGTTGCTTTGGTTGCCCTCCTGCTGACCTGCAGAGCCTCAGTGATAGAAATTTTTAATGTGCTTTTATAGCCCAGCTTTGCAGCCCTGTTCTGGAACAGCCAGTTACACTGTTAATTATTTATCTTTAACCTTTCTGTTAACCAAACCAATCCATTCCCTGACATCAGTGATTTTACTCTTTCATTAAGTGAATGATGGTGTGCTGATGTTCTACAGGAAGTGCTTCAACTGATATCTGTAAATAGAATTTAGTAATTATAAAATCCTTGGGTTCATTCCCCAAGAGTCTCTGTAATGGGCTACAGAAATTCAGTGCATACCAGAAGCTCATATGTAATTTAATAGGATTCTCTGTCACTGTCCAGTGCCAAAAACAAACGGAGGAACAATGAGAAGTTATCAGACATTATTCCTACTCACTCTGCCCCTGGTAGTGGTGCAACACAAAGAAAATGTTGTGATCTCATGAGCAGGTTACTTACAGAGCAGAACCACTCTTATTTCCATGAAATATGCAGCTGTAGATAGTAAAGTAAAAACATGTCCACACTTGCAAACAAACAAACCAGCAGCTCTGCTGCTGAAAAACAGACAAAACCAATCAGATTCTGAAAGATGAGTATTCTGGTAGAGGAATTATTTCCAAGTCCATCCAGTTGCAGCCCTCCACTGATAAAAGGAAATAAGATCCTGATATGCTACCATAGAAACAAGTGGTTTTGCCAGGTTTTGAATTTAAACAGACTGTGGCTGCTGAATT